TGATGGAGTTAAGAATAGTTAGTTATAGTTATAGTTTTCCTTAGCTATGATAAAGATTATTGTAACTTTTACTTGATAACTGTTTTGTTATATGTAATTTTGCTATGTTAAAGTTAAAGCCTTTTTTTTGTTTAAACCGAAAAAGGGGAAATGATGGTGGAAGGTCATTGGCTAATAAAGGAACTGCCTTGGCCCATTTTATTGGTTAGAAGATAGGTGGGAGGAGTAAACAGAACAGAACGCTGGGAGGAAGAGGAAGTGAGCTCAGACTCCACAGCTCTCCTCTCGGGAGCAGACGCCTGAGAGAGACGCCATGCCCCGCTCCTGGGCAGACACATGCCATGAAGCTCCGACCCAGGATGGACTAGGCAAGAATCTTCCTGGTAAGACCGGTTCTCAAAGATTATTAGTGATGGGTTGATCGGGATGTGAGAATTAGCCTGTAAGTGCTAGAGCTAAAGGGCCAAGCAGTGTTTAAAAGAATACAGTGTCTGTGTAATTATTTCGGGGCATAAGCTAGCCAAGCAGGCAGCCGGGGTGCTGGGGACGCAGCCCCGCCGCTCTTATTACTACACCGGACATGGGGGTCTGAACAAATGGGAGCTCAAGTCAGACACTTCAATTAGGGCTGGTCATGTGAGCAGAAGGCCTGGGGACAGAGTTAAGAGTTTGTTTCTTTTTTTTTTTTTTTTGAAGTGATGCATACAATAGATGACCCAATGATGGCTTGGCGGATATGAACCAAGTGAAGGCACTGCAGCCCCCATTGCTCTGGTGTTTAAGATAAGCACACAAGCTTGGTTTCTCAGAAAAGATCTTCAAACATCCATGGGTTTAGGTGCTCCTGGCCTGTTAGGTTTATAGCTAGTGTAAACAGAAGTTTCTGTCCCACCCAGTAGTGCAGTCATTCAGCCCCTAAGAAACACAGATAGGCTTACATTAATTATAAAATATTTGACTGGTGACTATTCTCTCATTTTCCTCTTCCAATAATTCTCTTATTCTGGTTGCCCTGCCTATATTTTCTTCCTGGCTATTGGCAAATGAGCATTTTATTAAAATAATATGAGCAAAAAACTTTTACAGTGTATAAGAGCAGTGTCCCACGACCAGGTAGGAATAATTTGTTTGCATTGTTTGTATTAATGAGTTATTTATCAATCTATGCCTTACCATCTGTGCTAAAAAGTTGCACACATAAGGTACAGAGCCATTTTGGTTTCTAAAACTGACTCATAGTGCAATTTGTGTGCAGCAGACAGGAGCTGAGAACTTTGAACCTGAGTAAAAGAAATACTCAGTTTTCACAGCTTCTTCCTTATTGCACAGAATCTGAAAATGCTTAGGCAAACAGCTCAGCTCCAAGAACTTCTCCATGCTCTGTTTGCCATCCAAAGCATCCAGGAGGCACTGCTTCATTTAGACAAACCCAAAAATGGAAGTTCCTACCTGAACCACAGCCCCAAAAGACCCCTGGCACTAGCTGTGGAGAAGACTATACAAAAATGGGAGGTCTTTAGTGTGAATGGTATTTTGTTTCTACACAGATTTTAAGGGATTGTTCTCTTCTCTCATTCTCCTTTTCTTTTTCCTAACCTTACTTTCTATACATTTTAGTTGTTGTTATTGTTTATTTGATACAGGGTTTCTCTCTGTAGCACTGGATGTCCTTGAACTCACTCTGTACACCAGGCTGGCTACAAACTCAGAGATCTACCTGCCTCTGCCTCCCAAATGCTGGGACTAAAGGTGTGTGCCACCACCTCCTGTCCATTATTTCATTATTCCCATTAAGATTAATGTGGGAAGTTGGCTCTGGTGTTGTGACTGTGGTTTATTCTGCAATCTGACCAGTGCCCTCTGTAGAAAGAAGCTTACTGTACAAATCCTCACACCAGTGTGCAAACCATATTCTCTCCCACAGGTGCACAAACCACAACAACAAAACATAAGAATGTAGGAAACAAAACTTTCTCAAAGGATCATAACTTGTCAGCAACTGAATCCAAAGGTATTTAATTAAATAGAGTGCTGAAGAAATTATTCAGGAGGTTTACTGACAAAGGATTGCAACTTCAAAAAGATAGCTAAAGGAAAAAAGCAAAACAATAAAGGATATGTGCAATATACAGAGAAATTTTAAAAATGTAAATGTTGTGAAATTTTGCAGATAAACCTTTAAAAATTCAGGGGAAACCACCACCAACAAACTAAATTAACTGAAAGATAAAATTACCAGGACTTCAAATACAAGATTAAAGATTTATTGCATTCCTCTTTATTTGAGAGGAATAAAGAAAAAATTATGATGATCCCAGGACATGACAGACAGACCATACAGGAATATTTTCATTTGAATAGAATGCTGAAATACAGGCTAAAGGCATATAAAACCTATTCATTCAAGCAATATCCTGAAATTCCCTATATCTACGGAGAGATTAGGACATCCAGGCACAGAGGTAATTTAAACTACCACATAGATAGGACCAGAAAATAATCTTGTCATATCGCACTGTTAGTAAAATTCAGAGAGTACAGAACAAGAAAGAATGCTGGAAATAATTACAGAGACGAGCCAAGTTATTCGCATGGACCTGATTGGAAAACCAATCAGAAAAACAGCTTGTTTCTTGACAGAAAGGCTAAAGGCAAGAGCATGCAACTATGTATTTTGAGTCCTCAAAGAAAAGAACAGACAACCAATATTACTACATGAAAATTCGTCCTTTATAAAGACCTTGAAGATGAACACAGCTAAAGCAATGCATGACCACCAAAGCAGCAGTGAAGAAGACACTCACAGGAAAATAAAAACACAAAGGAAGAAGACAGAAAGCTAGGATCACTACAGGAGAAAATAACTCCTGTAGTTCTAAGGAATCAAAAGCAGTAACTCAGGAAGTGTGCTGGTTAGCTTTTGTCAGCTTGACACACGCTGGAGTCATCTGTGAAGAAGAATCCTCAGGTGAGGAATTGCCTGCATCAATTGGCAAGGCTGTGGGGCATTTTCTTGATTGATGATTGATGTGGAAGAGCCCATCCCACTTTGGGGCCCTAGGATACTTAAGAAAGCAGGCTGAGCAAGCCATGAGAAGCAACTAGTGAGTCATGTTTCTCCATGGTCTCTGATTCAGTTCTTGCCTAAGTTCCTGCCTTGGCTTCTTTCAGTGGTGGGTTGTGATGTGGAAGTGTAAGCCAAATAAACCTCTTCCTCCCCAAGTAGCTTTTTTGCAATCGAAAGCAAAGTGCCAGTGAGCCAGCAAACATCTAAGATGAGAGAGAAAGAAAATATCACATAGCGATTGAAGCCAAATCAGAAAATCAGAAAGTGAAGAAAAGCCCACCAGGATTTCATTTAGTACAAACACTTTATATATATATATATATATATATATATATATATATATATATATATATGTGTGTGTGTGTGTGTGTGTGTGTGTGTGTGTGTGTGTGTGTATGTATGTATGTATGTATGTATATGTATATGTATTTATTTATTTACTTCTTTGAGACAGGGTTTCTCTGTAGCTTTGGAGCCTGTCCTGGAGCCCACTCTGTAGGCCAGGCTGGCCTCTAACTCACAGAGATCCACCTGCATCTGCCTTCCAAGTGCTGGGATTAAAGGCATGCACCCGCACCACCCAGCCAGAACAAACATTTTAACAGTAACCTAAATATAAATGGTCTCAATTCTGGAGTAAAAGATGCAACTGGCAGGCTGAATAGAAAAGCAGAAAACAATAATAAATTGTTTATTGCAGCGGGAAACTCAACTAGCTGGCCACGCATATGAAGACTAAAAGTGGAAGGATGGAAAACGGCATTTTAAGCAAACAAACTGGAAAGCTGTACTCTTACCTGACAAAGCAGATATCCAGCCAAAGTTAGGAAAAATAAAGATAACCATGTTAATAATTGGAACACTCCATTACAAACTTTTAACAAATCAATAAGATAATTTCTTGTATCTAGTCAGATCATCATGAATTGTAGAAAAAGTCAACGGCATAAGAAAGCACAGGAACACATGGTGAACGAACACTGTGTTTTTTCAAGCGTGGTCCAGCATATGCAAATTAGTAAAAGAAATTCAGCACATAACATGATCAAGGATAAGACTAATATTCTAATCTCAATAGATGGGGGAAGTCCTTTAAAAACTAAACTCATTCTTGCTGACAGCCCTGAACAAACAGAAAGAGAAAACTTACACCTACACACAAGAAAAGGCACTGAGATAACACTACCAACAGCAATATACTGATAGGGAATAACTTGAATCAGTTTTTCTAATGCAGGATAGACCAAAGAGTGATCATTCCTCAACTATTATTTAATACAGAGTTTGGATCTCCAGAGAAATAAAATGAGAGAAGAAAAAGAGTGTTACAAACAGGTAAGGAAGAAGTCAAATTACCCTATTTGTGGATGAAATGCTTATATATTGAAAATTCCACCAGCTATCAGAGCACTTGCCTAGCATATGGAAGGCTCTGGATTTGATCCTCTGAACCACATACCAAGAAAAGGACTCTGAAGCACCCAGCAAGATATCTCTGCTGGTAAATGTGCTGGAAGCACAAAATTGGTGAAGAATACCTTTGTAGTCAGAGCACAAGAGGCCAACTGGAAGCTGAAGGGCCAGCTACCCTGGAGTACCCAGCAAGGAACAAAGTACAGGAGAGATCTCCTCAACAAGTTGGAAGAAACGAATTGACTCTCAAAAGTTATCCTGTGGTCTCTACACACATTGAACCTCCCCCTAGTAATTTCCCCTCTTCCTGGCGCCCTTAACCGCCCCCCTCCCCCGCACACACACACACTGAAAATACCAAGAGAAGCTGTGGGAAGGCATCTCTGGATTAAATAAGCAGAGTATATTATGGAAACATGTTTGCACACCTCTGAATATTCCCATAGCCACACAACTGTGCACTGTAAGTTGGTGAGGTGTGTGATGCTAATTATACTATAAAAAAGCCATTCCTGCTCACCCATACTCACTGCTGTCAGATGCAGGGGAAGAAGAGCAACCCAGGCTGCTGCTCAGCTTGTCCTCAGCCTCTGCCTGCATCAGGAACTTCAGGGAAGGAAGGTGAGCCTGGGTGGTGACAGAAGAGAGGAGTGGAGCTAGCGCCACCTGGTGGTAAATCGGGATTCTCGTGTACTAGGGTATCTTGAAGTCTCCAGTCTGCACTGAGCCCTAAATCAGGACCACATCATCTAGATGTTGGGGATACAGGCCCCAGAAAGAGAAAAAAAAAGGAAAGCAAAGGCATCTGCCTGTATGTCTGTATGTATGTACGTCTCTCTGTATTTTTTCTTACTTTTTTTAAAAATAGATTGTGGTGGGAGTAATAAACAGGAGAATTCATGCTTAACACAGCAAGGGGGTCAGGAGAGCCAAGGGTATGGCTTCTTAAATGCCATCATTGTTAAATATTTTTATTTATAGCCTCATTTTGTTTCTGATGAGACCAACTGAGAAATAACCCACTATTCACAATTGTAAGCCCTATAACCGAGAAGGTTAGGCAGGAGAATTTGGTCTATGGGTGCCTGAGCTAAATATGGAACTCTAGCCCTAATGAACAAGAAGAAGTGAGGAAAAACTATGTATAGACTGTTAACCTGCAGTCAGTGTGTGCAGTGTATGTAGGACACTTCACGGACCAGAAATTTAATGTTGAAAAGTAAGTTAGTTTCATACTCTGTCTTTTTAACCTTCTAGCATGAGTGTGGGAGGGTCACACGAGCCCTCCCCCTCATCTGAGGAGCTGCAGACAGGTGATGACTGCCAGGAGAGGGAAAGTCGATTCTCTTCAGGAGTGTGTCCTTGGTATGTTGACTATCCAGAGAAATAATCTACTCACAAGTGTTCATGGGCAGTCATGACTGCACTCAGTGGGTTATTGAAAAAGGGGAGGGAGAGGAAGGGATCTAGGGGAGGGGAGGGGAGAAAAAAGGGGAGAGAAGGGGAGGAGATTGGAAGGAGGGGAGGAAAGGGGAGGGGAAGGAGAGGAAGAAAGGAGAGGGGAGGGGAAGGGAGGGGAGGAAAGGGAAGGGAAGGGAAGGGAAGGGGAGGGAAGGGAAGGGGAGGGAAGGGAGAAGGGAAAGGAAGGGGAGGGAAGGGAGAAGGGAAGGGAAGGGGAGGGAAGGGAAGGGAGAAGGGAAAAACAAGCAGTTATTGTTAAAAGTTTATCAGAATATTATTAATGTCAAAATTTGAACTTTTGAAATCTTATTATCTTTGTTATTACTCAAGCCTTTTAATCTCCAGACCTTTATAACTTGCTTTTACATATCACAATAACTTGTACTTTATATACTCAGGGTACATTTCTCTTTCCAAAATTATTTTCACATCCCCACACTTAGAAAATCTTTACATATAACATCCATATAAACTCTACTGATTTACTCAAACCTAAACTTCTGCATTTTATATTTCAAACTACTTTTTTTAGGCTCAAAATAGAACTTACGGAAACCTCAGGGCATACATTTTATCTTTCCAGCATAACTTTTTGACCTATCTTAAAATTTTTGAACCCTGTGTCATTTATTTTTCTTGGCTCGCATATTTTCCTCAGGCGTCATTCTCTAATATGAAAATGAAAGTTCCTAACCAAAAATACAATATATGAGGGGACGCTTAATCAGAAATACACTATATAAGAAGATTGGTAATTATGAATCCTTTATAATGTATCATGAAACAATTTAGGCACTGTAGACAGACCAAAATGCCTGCTTTATGGGTGAAGAAAAGAGGAAAAAGTGTATTTTAACTGTTATGAAGATAACGGGGAACATGGAGAACATATAAGATGAGATATTTTTAAAAATCAGTTTAAAAAGACAGTCACATTGTGGCTATGTTTATATCTCTACCTGCAAGGTGGATGGTGTTTAATAAGACAGACAGCTGAAGAAATGGATCTTCGTTAGGATGAGAGACTTTTAGAGTTTAATGAAAACTGTAGGATTTAACATAAAGAGCAGCAGCAGCATGCCTTTTCTGGGCTGGCCAGCTGGGAGGGTCTGAGAAGTGCAGGCTGCTGAGTCAATAGACAGGATAGAGTAGGGGGATGGGCAAAACAGAGCAGTGTGGGAGAGGCAGAGGATAGTGACTGGAGGAGAGCGGAATTCATGAAGCGCATTTCTGCAGTTCATCTGATGTCTCCAAGTGAACTGAGAAGCCCTGTAGAATTTTTACAAATCGACGGAGAGAACTTCCTCTCTCCAGGATTTGTCTGGGATGGGCTAACTGAAGTTCTGCACTTGGCCACAATTTTTGTAAACAAACCAGGAGCTCAGGTAGCCTCATACACGTAGAGAGAAAGAGGAGAGACAAATTTTTAGTGCATCCATTCGCCAACAGAAAAATACTTTATGAGATGTGGAGAAATCCTTTGAGTTTATAAATCAGCCTGAGGGATTTGATAGCTGTAGGCACAGGTGCTGTGTGTCCTTCTGTCATCAAAGCCTGCTCTGTATTTTAAATGGGGAGCAGCAGGGGCATCTGGGCTCCAGGCAGCAAGACAGTTTCAGGAGTTCTTGGTGCAAAATTTAACAATTTAATCTCTAGGAGTCATAGTAAAGCAAGTTGTTTGGAATAGGCAGAGATCTGAACTGCCAGCCCGGAAAACTGGAAGAGAAAGCGGCAAAAATATGATTGACCCTTATTTGCATTCTCAGGCGCTCTTTCTAAGTGGCTGGGTTAGGAGGAACAAGGAACAAAGCTTAAAGGGAACTGAGGGAAAGTCACTCATCCTAACAAAGCATTTATTTCCTTCATGCCAATAGCGATCTACTGCTGAGCGTTTGGTCAGAAGTGAGACCCCACCCCCTGACACCCCTATATCCAAGAAATCCGGGGTGTTTGGGGGGTGGAAGCTTCACCCCAGACTCTGGTATCCATTTCAAGCCCCCTCCCCTGGGTGTTGCCTTAGTCTGGACTCCATTTCCAGGAAATTCCACCAAGCAGTAAGCCCTAACCAGGGAGGGTCAAGAAAGCCTGCAAAGTGGTGGCCCCTCCCCAGGGTGAGTCAGGACCACTCCACAGGCTATTTAGGCTGCCCCCAGAAAAGGAACATGTGATCTCCCCTTCTTTCTCTCCCCCTCGCCATGCTTTTCCGGGACCACCCAGGAGTACTGCATTAAACATGGACATCTTTTATTAGGTCTCACTTGGCCTGATTGGAATTATTTGCATCAGCGGAGAGGCTCACTCTAAAAAATATTTCTAACAGTGAGGACTCTTTAAAGAACTGCTGATTTGGAAGTATCTCTGGCACACTTCCAGAAGGGACCTCCTGAGGTGCCCTCCTAAGGGGGGATTAGGGGTGTCATGCTCACTGCTCCAGTGGGGACCTGGAACTTGCAGCATTCTCCAGGGAGGGCTAGGCTATAGATGAATGCTAGGGAGATTTCCCCACTCGTGGATCTCCCGGGACACAACTTCTTCAAACTGGGATGGTTCTGACATGCACTACTTCTTCTCCCTGGATAGACTTGTGTACCTACTTAGCTAGGTCCCTCATTACCTCCGTACCAAGTAAACAGGATTCTTCAGGGTCCCACCATTTAGACCCCTTCAGGACCCAGCTAAGGCCAGTGAAGGAAAATAACTAAGAAGATATAGGGAAAAACAATTTACTCATAAACAATTTTTCCTCAGTATGTCTCTTTCCTGTTCTCTCTTCCTTGTAGACTGTTTTAATTTTTCTGTCCTATCTATAACTTCTGAGCTTGAGTTTTCTGTTTCAATCCTAATTTCAATTTCAATTTTCTGCTAACTTTTGCTTCTATTCCTGCTTCTTCCTTTACTCAATAAGGAAGCAACCAGAGAAGTATAGGCAGTCACAAATGTTTATGAATTACAAGTAAATGTAGACATTGTAGAGGCCCTTTCTGTCGCAAGCAGGTAGTGGGTGCTTACTCAGTAGGAAAGGTAACAAGACCCCATAGTTTATTAAATCTACATGAAGGAGTCTTTGAGAATTCAGTTTCTCTTCTATATGAGCCAAGTGATTTTTTTTTTCTTTCAGGTTCCCTGGTGACCTGGGCTTAGGATCACCGTGGAGGAGGTCATATGAAGGCTTAAATACAGCTGTGGGTACCTCTATGTAGAAGCTATCTCAATATTTTTAAGCAGCCTTTAGGTGTCATTTAGAGTTCATAAATGACCCACTCATAATTAGAAAGGTGGAGAGAAATCTGCGTGGATAACATACCCCAAATAAGAAAAAAGTGGCTGAATTTGGATTTTTTTCAAAGACCACCTGAATATCACATAATGTTAATTGTTGAATCAGGAATATTTTTTAATTCTATTATTGAGCTAAATATCTTTCTCCACTTCACTCCCTTCTTCCCCCCTCCCCTCTACTCTCTCTCATGATCCACAAGCTCCTGTTCCCTATTTACTCAGGAGATCTTGTCTTTTTCTATTTCCCATGAAGATTTGATACATGTATGTCTCTCTTAGGGTTCTCTTTGTTGTCTAGGTTCTCTGAGATTGTGAATTGTAGGCTGGTTTTTCTATGTTTTATTTCTAAATGCCACTTATTAATGAGTACATATTTTATTTGTCTTTCTGGGTCTGGGTAACTGCACTCAATATGATGTTTTCTAGATCCATCCATTTGCCTGCAAATTTCAGGATGTCATTTTTTTTCCCTCCATGTGGTACTCCATTGTGTGAATGTTCCACATTTTCCCCATCCATTCTTCGTTTTAGGGGTATTTAGGTTGTTTCCGGGTTCTGGCTATGACAAATAATGCTGCTATGAACGTATTTGAACACATGTCCTTATTAGGTATGATTGAGCATCTTTGAGGTATATACCCACAAGTGGTACTGCTTGGTCTTAAGGTAGTTTTTTTTCCTAATTTTTTGAGAAAATTCCATCCTGATTTACAAAACAGCTGTACCGGTTTGCCATACCACCAGCAATGGAAGAATGTTCCCTTTGCCCCATATCCTCTCCAGCATAAGTTGTTGCTGTGGGAGTCCCCTCTGTGTACTGCGACTGCCATTAATGAATAAAGA